TTTTTTTTTTGTATTTTTGGACCAAATAAAATATTAACACCCAAAGAAAACCTAAAATATTCACCCATACACCCAAACTGATCCCCTAAAAACTAAGTTGCTCCGACACGGTAGTTTAGGTGCCGAACTCGAGTCGATACAATACTAGTATAAGTGTGGGTATGAGATCCGTACTGTATGTAGTCAAATAATTTTGGGTACTTTGACCATGACATATGAAAAAATTTGAGACGAGATACAATTTGATTCCCGAAATCAGAATCAAAACTAGGGTAAATTTGAAAAATATAATAATTTTGGGTACTTTGACCATGACATATGAAATAATATAGTGGTAAACAAAGTTAATTTTAGTGATATGATTATGGTGATTTTTGGGGTTATTGATAATGGAGGCGACAGAAAGAACAGAGAAAGAAAGAACACAACATAGACGTGGTCGTGATATTTTAAGGATAAATTTATTCTATTTTAAAATTGTCAAGGGGGTAATAGAACCCCTACAAAATTTAAGTGTGCAGTTGAAAACCCAGTTATAAGTGAGGAGGTACTTATGCATTTTCCCAAACCTATCCTGACAAAAGGCTGTATGTTTAATTTCTAGAATAGTATAATAAAACAGATTTGGTTTCAATTGCAGAGTTTGGCCTCCCATTTTGGGCCCCAAATATGATGGAAAATATCTTCACAAAGTTCTGGAAGACAAGTTGGGAGAGACTCGTTTGCATCAGACTTTAACAAATGTTGTCATTCCAACTTTTGACATGAAGAAATTTCAGCCAATAATATTCACCAAATCGGAGGTAAGTCTTCCATAAATCATATCATTTGGATATGTAGATGGAAATATTGCCGTTAGTAATTATTCTTTATTATGAAACAAATACAGATAGCAAACTCACCTCATCTGGATGCTAAGATGTCTGACATATGCTATGGTACCGCTGCTGCTCCAACTTATTTTCCTCCATATTACTTTGAGAATGATGATGGTAAAGGAAATCAGCATGAGTTCAATCTTATTGATGGTGGTGTTGTTGCTGTCAATCCGGTACATTCCCTCATAAATCATCTTAATTCTGAATCTTTTTTTGTTAGATAATCCAAAAGAGTTAATTTAGATGTCTATTTAATTAGTACTGTGGATTATTTCACGTGACTTTTTCAGCATGCATGCTCATTACCTATACTTTAGTAACCATAATGGGTTTTGGTTGACAGGCCTTAATTGCCGTAAGCACAGTAACCAAAAGTGTGGATCCATCAGTTGCTTCTATAAAGCCATTGGACGTCAAACAAGTTTTGCTGCTCTCATTAGGGACTGGCACTACTGCAGATTTTGCTGGGACATACACAGCAAAGGAGGCAGATAATTGGGGTCTTGTTTCCTGGCTATTTCATAATAATTCGAACCCTCTTATTGAAATGTCATCTGAAGCAAGTGTTATTATGAATGATTATTACATCGCCACCATCTATCGCGCTCTTGGTGCTGAAACGAATTACCTCAGGATTGAAGTAAGGCAATCTCGCTCAAAAACAACGTAACACTCCTAGTTACTCCCTCCGTTCCATTTTATAACGGAGTTTAGAGAGAAATGAAAACTTTTGAAACTTATGATGTAAAACAAGTTATAGATACTTGTAAGACTATAAAAGCTTTTCATCAAGGGCA